TAGCATGTCCTCTTCTTCTTATTTGGAAACTTTCTCTTCACTACCTTATAGCCTTGCTTTTTTAGTCCCTTTTGAAATCTCTTCATGAAGAGAGCAACATCATCAACCTTCTTATATTGTTCATCATCATTTTTATCTTCACTTGAGGATGATGTAATTTCTACTTGCTCTTGGACTTGCTTGATTGCTTTTGGTTTACTTGTTGAAGCTTGCTTGTTAATCTTGGACTTTCTAGTAGAGCCTTGCTTGCTTGATTTGTTGGCCTTGAGAGCTACATCCTTGATCCTCATGCCATATAGCTTTGCTTGCAACTCACCAAGCTTCTTCATCTCATTTGCTTCTTCTCTTTGTATGTCAAAGGTCAAGATCCTCCCAAGTACATCATTTGGTGTGAAGTACTCAAACTTCTTCTTGTCTAATTAGAGTCACCACGGTCTCATTTCTAGATGAATAAGCTTCCAACATAATCTTGACCACTTTGTGATCATCTAGCTCATCACCACCATAGCCTCTAATCTTGCCGACAATCACCATCAATCTATCAAACATCTCTTATGGCCCTTCTCCATCCAAGATCACGAACCGGTTGAGCTTGGCCATCAACAACTCAATTCTTGTCTTTCTTACTTTATCAACCCCTTCATGTGCAAGGTGCAAGGTGTTCCATATTTGCTTGGCAACATCAACACCCATCACTATTGTACTCATCACCATCCAAAGCACTAAGTAACACACTTGTGGCTTGACCATTGAGATGTATAATTTGCATTTTGGTTAGAGTTGGATTTTTGGGATCAATTGGTGGCTCAAATCCATTGCAAATAACCTCCCAAATATTGAGGTGAAGACCTATAAGATAGGCTCTCATCAAGTGTTTCCACTTGGCAAAGTTAGTCCCATTGAAATGAGGTAACTTGCCCACGGGCACATTGATGAAAGACCTTCGATCATGGTTAGTCATAGGCATAGAAGAATAGTTAAAGGATATGGGTGCATATTTATTGTTGGAGTCGGCTTTGCCCTTTCCTTTCTTCTCTTTCTTGGCCCCTTGGTCACTTGGTAGGACTCATCATCATCTCCATCTTTAGAACTACTTGAAATGTCACTTGATGATGCATTGGTTGTTTTTGCTTCCTCTTCCTTCTTCTTCCTAGCTCCTCTTCTTTTTTCTTGCTTCTCTCTTGAGCTTTCTTTCTTCTTTTCTTTGCTTCTTGTCTTCTAACCTTTGCTGCTCCTTCTTCTTCTTTTCTCTTGCTTCTTTTTTTTCTTTTCTAGCTGCCTTTCTTTTTCTTCTTTCTTCTTCATTTTGAGCTTTATCGGCATCAATTGCCTCTAGCTGTGGGAGCGTAGTGTTGCTTGCTGTAGATGCACTGGGCTCACTATTGTCGGTGTCGGGCAAGCTCATGTCCTCCGGATCAACGTCTATGGGCTTCACAACACTATATCCTCCTCCGGGCTCCATACCTCACGTGGTGAAGCGCACATAAGGTAACCTGCTCTGATACCACTTGTAGGATCTCTGGTTTGCCTAGAGGGGATGAATAGGCCTGTTAAAACAAAACTTGAGCAAACGTCAAATTTCACCCGTGACACTACCGCTCTGAGCCCATGGCACTACCTGTAGACAACTTCAAGGCACGGTTCAAAAACTATGAATGGAAAATTAGATCGGAGAAATTACTGAGCTTCCTGCATGTATATAGTTCACAGATCGATAGCTAGAAGGGGTAGAAGTGGTACACACAAGTAGATCAACCACAAACCCTAGAAATCTCCTCAACAACAATATGAAATGTAATAAAAGTAAATCAAGCACAAGGTGACACAAGTATTTATCATGTGGTTCAGCTCGCCACCAAGGCTTGCCTAAGTCCACGTTGTTGAGGTTAGCCACTAAGGCTTAGGGCTTTACAACCCTTCCTCGATCTCAAATCAAGAGAATTAACTCTTGAGATGAGGGGTGAGTTTACTAGCTTCAAGAGATGGTTACAAACCTCCTAGAGCTGTCACACAAGTGCGCAAGCTCCACGAAAAACGCTCTAGCCGACTAGGAGCAAGCTCCAAGAGTAAAAAACATAATCCATCGGCCAAAACACGAACCAAGTGCTCTTAGGCTTTGGGAATCGGTGGATCTGCTCTCTAATCGAGTTTTAGAGCCTTTTCTCTCAAGGATTGATGGAAAATCACAAAGGAATGCTTAGGAGCTCAATGTCACCAATGGAGAAGAGAGAGAGTGAGCACTATTATATTCTGGTCGGTCTGATTGAGTAGAGGTGGAAGAAGAGCCGTTGAAGGGGAGTGTGAGAGGTATAAATACCCCACAACTCCCAACGGTCAGTTAAGTTACGGCGGTGCTGCGGCTCAACTGCGGAAAGTGTCGCATAGCGGCAGTGCCTCTCTTAACTACTCAGTGCTGATTTGTGTTCTCCTTCGCACCACAACTATCACTCCCCACCAAATAAATAAAAGATTTTTAACCTCCTAACTACTCAGTGCCGATTTTCGGACGTCGGAACTCTCCGGTGCCTAGCATCGGAAGCTTCCGGTGACCCATTTGAAAACTCTCGAGCAGTCGATCACTAAAATACCTAATCTCCGATGCCCAGCTCTCCAGTGTCACTGGGAGATAAGGTGCTCGATTGAAAATACCTTAACAAACAGCTCATGCAACGAAGCTCCAGAGAACAACTTCGGTGTACCACCGGAGGACATAGGTGCACTCAAGATGATCGGATAGATCGAGATCCTGGCACTATTCCAACCCTCTAGCGGCATCACTTTGGTGCCCACCGGAGGGCTAGCACTCGGCACTTTTCTCAAAACCTTTTTTCAAGCCTCTAACTCTTATGTGTACCCCGCTGAGTATCGTTCTAGTTACTTTTATATATTTTAATATGTATTCATAGTTTCTACCTTTTGGATTAGACCTCTATTTGTCTCGAATATGCATTTGGTTGGAATTCTAGCTTGATTTATGTTAGCACTTGTTACATCCCATATGTTGTGGCTTCATGAACCAAGATTTTATATTTCTTATTTTGACCTTATTAGTTGCTACACTTTCTTATTCATGCGTTAAGTTGAAATATAGTACTTTGACTATTGTATTTTTTTATCAAAATATTGGATCTTAATATCTAATGTTTTTATGTTGGTCGTTGAATTCAGCATAAGGACTGAACTTTGATTTTGATGTTCACTGTTCAACAATGCTATGTTCTGCATCAACGAAAGCCACTAGAAAAGAAGGCCATAGAAGAATCTATTTCAATATTTTCATATATAATTTTGTGATGTATTATGCCAAGGTTTAACATAATCCCCTTCCCTTTGCAAAAAAAAATGAACCTCAGTTTAATGGATTTTGATAGTAATTTAATATTTTGCTACTTTTTTACTTACAAATGCAACGCTAACCTTTCTAGAAAACAGATCAGTGATGAAACACATGGCAAAGGTGTGCATAATTTCAAAATGGGAAAAATGGCTATTTGACTTTTTCAAGTAGCTTCTTAGATTTGCCACTCTCAAGATGAAAATCGTAAAATCGGCACATATGTTAAACATATTTATTTTTCTTGCCAATTTTCCTTTTTTACTTTTTCTCTTGCCATTTTTTGCTAGAGAAAAGCTCAACTAAGCGGCCGGACATGCAAGCCAAGCCAAGCCAGCCAGAGACCGCCAGGCGTGCACACCTCAACCGCAGCCACACACACCACAACCAGGTAGTAGTAGCTACTAGGGGCAATGTAGTAATTTCCAAGGTCTGTTAATTAGAAAGACGTATAATAATGGTTTCATTCGGCTTACTGTGAAAGTCGATTTGTTTGACTTTTTTTCAACCGAAACGGTATTTTTCTCTCACAACCATTCAACTTTAGTTTTTTTTTAGCCAGCCTCAGCCAATCAAACAGGCCCGATATAAAGAAAATGAATGAAAAGTGAACATCCGAACACGGCAGTATAATCAAAGAACTATAATAAATTTGTGCTAATTTTTCGAAATTCAATCTTCAAATCAAAGTAGTAAATATTGCCACCACTTCAAATTTATCAAATAATCAATTTTCTCATTTCAAGATGTGTTTCGTGGGCAATTCCTCTCCACGCAGGATCCTAGCGCGTCGCGCCGCCGCTGCTCAGTCCGCCTCCGCCCTACCGCACTCTGCCAGACTTCCGCCGCCACAGCGCCGCTCTTCCCTCCTCCGCCTGCTGAAGCGGAGATCCACCAGTCCGGGCGTTGAGTTATTTCTTCTTTCGTTGGTGAGCAATCCGTCCCATACCATGCTTGGATGATTCCCTTATTCTAAGACAACACTTGATTTTTGTTCTCGAATCTCGATCAAGTACGAATATTTCTCTTTCCCAACTCAGCTTGTTGTGTGCTGCAAAATGCCCTACTGTCCAATCTTAATCCATCAATCTGTGGTTTGATTAGGACGTTATTCTTTTCCTCCAGCGCTCAAGATCGACATTTAATTGGCACTGTAGTGCTCTTGGTACTGAATTAGGTTGCGCGTGTGGTTAATAGTCCAGAAGAATTTGAGGGTCCAATGCCCTAAATCAAGTCGGCCCCTGTCTTCAGTAGAGGAAGGAATTGTTTGCAGCCTGGTTGGCTAAGCTTAGCTGGTTATCTGATTATTCAGAGCGATCTGTCTTGCTCTTGTAGATGATAAATGAACTAGCCATAGGCATCAATTAACTATACCTGGGACCAAAAAAGGAATAGAGAACTCACCACCTTTATGATTCTTTCTGGGTTCATCATGACCATGGGACCTTTTACATGATAAAAGTCCATGGTTGTGCAATAGTGATGTATCAATGTTCAATGAGTGTATAGAAATTATGTGTGTGTGTGTGTGTGTGTTTTGCTTTAATACTCCAATTGTATCTCATTATGTGCAGTATAACAGTATAACATTGGGACAGTTGTGCCTCTATGGTGCTAAAATGGTCTGCGATTGTGCAGTTTGAGGTTCCCATATCTCTCTTTGGAAATGCATCCCCCTCTGACTTTACATAGGCATCCTATGTGTGCCGAGGTAATTTGATGTTTTTGTTTTGATATTATCCTTGCTTGTTGAATATTTTGTTCATCTATATGCTGTTGCATTACTTTAGTAAAACTTACAATTATAATGTATTTGTCCAGATTATTGAAGAATTCCAGAAGTGCCATCTGGATCACCCTGCTAAGAAGTTCTTTGGAGAGTGCACAGACCTTAAAATCAAGCTAGACCGCTGCTTCCGACAGGAGGTGACTGCTTATCATCCCTTGTTTCTATTATGTAATCCTCTAAACCACAACAAGGTATTCTTTTTTAAATAAATCGCCTTCTTCTAAATGTCACTTTACTGTACTTAAAACCAGAAAGCTTTGAAGAGAAAGGCAAACTTTGAAGAGAGCAAGAAATTTAAAGAACAGTTGCAGGCTTACAAAAGGGAAATTGCAGAGAAAAATGAGGAATAAGAACTTGGAACGGAGAACAAGGCCCAAGAGGCTCTTAATCTGTGATGGCCTGCCCTCAATTTTGTGAAGCATTTGTTGAGTGTTTTTGAACTGCATGTTTCCAAAAAAATATTATACACTTCTCTGAGTAGCAGCTAGACTTCAACAGCTTCAAAGTTTCTTCCTTGGCTATGGAATATGTTTCCAATTTGTCCATGCATGCTTGTGCAACAGTGTTTTGTGTTAGATATGGACAACTGACCCGTATTCCCTAGTATAAACAGTTTATTAGCGAGTTCCTTTTATTTGTGCCATTTATTCTGTGTTGATGTAATGTGCATGTAAATCCAAATAAATTATTCTATAGATCTGCTTCGTGTGTTAGTTGTTAGATGTTACGTACCCCACTCAGATGTGTTTCAATTATTGTAGGGATCATCATCTTTTCAATACCAATTTATCCTGTGAGAGAATCACTCCTATGGAATCAAGAATATAAGGTATTATCTTTTTCAGGTCATTGAGATCTGAATAAAATTGTGGAGGCTACTCAGCACCACTTTGTAAATATCCCAGAGTCCAGTAATAGTGACCACCATTTCCTTGATTTGACAGCAAAGCCCTTTAAATTTTATGTTTTACTCACATGAAGAGTAGATGTAGATTAACAGATCAATTTGACCAGTGTAACTGGGGAAATGAGTCATCACATGAAGACATGTGAGGTTGTTAGGGTGGTCAGTGATGAAGTTTCGATTTGTTGCATCTTGGGTGGTTTATTTTTGTATTTACGCCAAAGGGTGCCTAGCTGAACTGGTTAGGTGGCCTCGGCGGCACTCCTTAGGTCCTGAGTTTGACTCCTCATGGGAGCGAATTTTAGGCTGCGGTTAAAAAATCCCCTCGTCTATCCCACGGCCAAAGCGCAGGTCAAAGGCCCGGCCCGGTTCTCATAGGGCAACGGTGTTGCTGTGTTAGGGTGGGGCAGGGGTTCGGGGGTTTTCTCGACCTGTATGAGATGGTCTTCTCTCTTACAGCAATGCTGGGGGGTGGCTTACCCCCCGCAGGTCGAGTTTTTTTATTTTTGTATTTACGGCCTGTTTTTCATGTTTGTCGATCTTGTGAACCTCTTACTGTAGTATGTTTATTGGTACTGTTCCCATGCCGAAGTCATAGCCATGCTAACAGCTAATAAACATCATGCATAATTCTGATGCTTTCAGAGTCTGAATCAATTAGTTGGTATATGGGATTACCTTGTGTTATGATGGCCTCATTCTTTGATATACATATTTTCATATTGCTAGTATCAATCCTAGCGAGACCCTTGCTCTTGCAAAAGACCATGTCATGAAAAATTGCTTGGAACCCACAACCCAGCCCTCCAAAATTTAACACCTAAGATCGTTTCTCTCTCTAAGATAGACCAGATTGTTGCCTTCCCACCAGAGTATTTTCCATTCATGAGTTGGCTGGGGTTCAGAGTGGGTTCATGAGTTGCCTTCCTTGCTATCATCTGGCTGAAGATTTGAAGATTTAAATTTTGAGGTAGAAATAAAAGGTTTGCCATCCACAACCTGCTGCTAGGATCTTTACTTGCTACTGCAGTATCAGGCCATCGATCGGATTAGCATGAAGATCTCTTTCCTTGGCAAACAATTTGTTGAGGCATCTATAACTGGGTTGGGGGATTTTTACAACCCTTACAGATGCCCCATTATTCTTATTCATGATGCAGGTTAGCTTATGTGTGGCTATATATCTTCGTCAAGTGGGTTTCTTTTGCTTAATCCTGTGTACTAAACGCAAGAAGTTTGACGTGGTTCTGAATGTGCTGAACCATGCTACTTGTTTTTCTTCTATCATCTCATAACTGCTAATCCTTGGATTCGCATGATGATTGGTGGATTGAAATAAATTCCACCTCAATCCATCCCAACACATCTGGATTAAGATGAATTCGACAACATCCAAACAAGGCCTAAAATTTAGGAGTGTAAAGTTTTGGGGTGTCACATGAGGGTCACGTGAGGGTATCGCATGGGGTGTTCGGATACTAATAAAAAAACAAATTACAGAATCTATCAGTAATCAGCGAGGCGAATTTATTAAGCCTAATTAATCCGTCATTAGTCCATGTGTTACTGTAGCACCACATTGTCAAATCATAGACTAATTAGGCTTAAAAGATTCATCTCACAATTTAGTCGTAAATTGTGTAGTTAATTATTTTTTAGTCTATATTTAATACTCCATGCATATGTCAAACATTCGATGGGATATGAAGTAAACTTTAGGGGAGGAACTAAACGAGGCCATAAGTCAAAATTTTTGCAGTATACGTGGAAGAGTTTCCTTTTTCCCTTCTCGGATCACATGAAATAAACAAGGAGGCAGAAATGTGGTTTCGTCATAAATTGAAGGGATTCATGCTAGCAAAGTTTTTAGGCTATCTGTCATACTCTAGTATGAATCAATCGTAGATCCGTACAAGTTGGTTACAGCAGCAAGCCAGCAACAGTTCGAATGACTATGGCATGCTTTTTTAAAAAGAAAAACAGCGAAGTAGCAATATATTGCGAGCTTGAAATACTAAATTATTTCCCTCGTTTTAATTATGATTGGGAAAATCGGGTATGCATTAATGTTCAGTTTTGAGAACTAAGAAGTCAATTCTTGTTCTTGGTTTGAAAGAAGATAACTTAATTTGATTTACCCTATGTTTAATTGGAACTTTTCTAAAAGGCTAAACGCTTAATTTGATTGTTCTAAACTCCTCGGTGTAATCTGTGTTTTGTGTAACGAAGATTTGAATTACTAAGGTCCGGTTAGCAGTTACTCTATTGCACAAAGTAGCAAAGCCTCATGAGCTTGAGAATGATTGCCTGTTGCTGCTCGTCCCAGCACGTCCTGCCTTTTGGCACCGATAGCTGCTGGTCAAGCCTGAGCAAAACGGATGTTTGACTAGTTAACACTGCAACAGCGCCCAGTGTCCAGTGTTAATACATTAATTAGGAGTTTCAAAAAAAAATACATTAATTAGGACTAAAAGCTTGCGCTTGCACGGGAATGCAAATCATGACCCACCCACAATATGCCATAAGGATCTGCGTGCCAGTTTCCTGGAAACTTACCTGACATAGCAGCTGGCTTTAGCTCTGCTCCCCTGACGGCTGACGCACAAATAATCAGGCATCAACATCACCTACAACAGAGCCAAGGAACAAGGCAGGCGTGCATCAATCGTCCATGGAAGCAAAAGCAATCCCGCTCCTCACGCCCTACACCATGGGGAGGTTCCACCTCTCCCACAGGTCGGTATGTCCACTGCCCATGTATCACCTGGTTCTGTTTTGTAGCGGCGATAGGATCGCTTCACCTCATTCCTTCACTGGCAGTTCATGTCATTGCTTGCGAAAGAGTTCATTGCTCCCATGGATCATCTAGGCTGATCACTTGGTTTTCGAGACGAGAATTCGTAACTGTCGCTTCGTGTCCCAGCGTCTAGGGCGAGCGCCCGCAAGGTGCTCGATGAATTGCCTGCCCCAAAGTCTGCATGACTGCTGCCTAGGGACCTCCTCACGTCGGGGTATTGGATTCTGCGTATACAATCGACCTGATGAGACATCTGCTGCTCATCTTTATGCCAGGGTTGTCCATGCACCTCTCACAAGGTCAAGGTGCTACAGCAACCTTCCTGGCGAGCACGTCGCCCTCTACTACTCCCAGAGGGCCTCGGAAGGTGGCCTCCTGATCAGCGAGTCCACTGGGGTCTCGGAGACTGCCCAGGGGTATCCCAGCACTCCAGGTATATGGACCAAAGACCAGGTGGAAGCCTGGAAGCCGGTCGTCGAAGGTGTGCATCAGAAGGGTGGAGTTTTCTTCTGCCAGATTTGGCACGTAGGGAGGGCTTCTACCTATGGTACTGCCGCTTCTCAAGTTCTGGATATTTACGATGACCTTGCAAATTAATTTGTGTTTACTAATGAATTATGCAAATAGGAGTATTGGATATTTACTATGACCTTGCAAGTTAATATGTGTTTGCTAATGAATTACGCATATGCCATATAGGACTATAGGAGTAGTTGTTCTCTAAGAAATTTAATCTTTTATATGTTTCTATAATAGGGCAGAATGGTAGTCATATCATATCTAGGCCAAAACTTGTATAGTTGTTTACAGAGCACTTGTAAGATAGGCTGCTAGATCATGTTGATTCATTGTGTCAACCATCTGACTATCCTGGCTACAGAGTTCAGAAGCAATGTTTTTAGTATGAGTACCGTGTCTTGTTGAACTGTAACAACTTAAGCTTGTAATGGACCCACAGAAATTATTGCACTCACCGTGAATTTATACAGAGCACATCATCATATTATAGTACTTTGTATCTAGGATACTTGATATGGATTATGCTGATTCATTTCGTTAGGCGTCTCAAAAGTAATTTTTGATGACTACTGAGTCAAAGTCCCAATGCAGTTGATGGTCACGTCTTATTGAACTGTAAGAACTTGAGCTTCTTTCTGAAGCCACATAAATTATTGAATGAACACTACACATTTGTGATGTTCTTGTCTCAAGCTTATCTTGTGCGTATTATTCACACATACTGCTACCTGCTTGAATGATGCATTTCATGTAGTTGTGAGGTTCCCTGACAACTATTTTACAATATACATTGCAGATTATCAACCCAATGGACAAGCACCAATTTCTTGTACGGACAAGCAGATCACCCCTGAGGTTCTCGATGATGGGACTGTGGAGGAATTCTCAGCCCCAAGGAGGCTTAGAGAAGATGAAATCCACCAGATTGTCAATGATTTTAGGCTTGCTGCTAGGAACTGCATTGAAGCAGGTACTTCCACCTTTTCCTTTACCTTTCATCTGCATAGTTAACACCACGGCTTTCCGATTGTGAGGATCTATCAGAGTTCAAATCCACTGTGCATTTACCGTTTTGATCAAATCAAGTAAATCATTCATCGTATTCGTTACTGATTTGGTTACATCAATGG